TGAGACTTGATATGAAAGACTCGTCATTTCAGTGCAAAGAATTAATAATAAATTCTATTTTTATTGCATTCTAAAGTTTCCAATAATTTAATAATTTAATTCTCAAACACATGGATCAATGTTTCAATCTCTTTTCCTCTATAATTGTTTGGCTATTCTTATCTGATCTGGAACCATATCAGCCAACGATCATCGCAAGCTAGTCACGTAAGGGATATACATAGAGTCAACCACGATATAACAAACACAGTGTTAACTACTCTACCAAAGCGCCATCTATATCAGCTAAAATCTTTTTAGACTTACCTTTCACAACAAAACTGAAACAAAATACGAATATTCCTGATATTTAAATAATTACAAGTGATAGAGTAACCTAACCTAACCCAGAAGTTAGGTTCCAGAGCAGGGTCTAGAAACTTGCTACTCAAGCTCTATCCCTTTTACATTCTTGACGACACAGTCTCCATCTTGTCTCAATATTCCGCTCCTCCGCTTACGACAATTTGCAACACTGTTGTCATATCTCACTCGGTCCCCATGGGCCTCGTTAGCCGCCTCTGTTTATAGCAAAGACACACTGGACCGATAACGAAAATTCGTGTACCCTATCTTCTAATTGCGTCCCATTACCGTGACCAATCAGATCTGCTTTCTTCCCAACAGCCTCCTGACTCTACACTACCCCAAATTCTTACCTCTTAGCTTTTTGACATGTGAGACTAACATAAGCAATAGCAGGCTAAGTAACGTCGTCAAGGATTTCTTACTGCGTTTATGCTAACTCCTCACACTTGACTGTCTTTTCTCTCGAAACTATACAAAACCAAATTACGAATAAAACAAAATTTGTCAAAGATTCCCCATAAGATCTTAAGATCCTTGAAATTTAACTAAAAAAAATAGATATTTTTTTTTTACTTTTATTCGAAGTATACGCTTGCGAGAATGTCTGTGCGAAAGGATTTGTTTGAATTCGTAAAATTGGCGAAGTTATAGGGGTTTGAAGTATGACGAACAGGCATTGTGCAATGGGTAACGAAAACTTCAAACGCGTTTTTCTCGAAATCTTATTTTTTGAACTGGCTGACGGGATATCTCGCGTTTTAGTTGATCGATTGACTCGAAATTTGGAGGAGACCTTCACAGGGTGTGTCTTCATCGACTGAACCACGGATTTCAAAATCTGACGTTTTCTTCTATTTTTTTTTTTACCACGCTAGGGACAGAAGCAGGAGGAATATCAATATTTGAACTTCAAAATGCCGCCATTTTTTTAATTTTCGAAATTTCGCTGTTTTGGTGGTTCACGCTATAGCTGTATTTATACTGATTAAGATGCTTTTTATTTTCTTCGTTTCGCATGAACAGATGCTCCAGAATCACCTCAGCCTCTGGGTACCAAAACGTATCATGATTTCCTTATATATAATAAAGTATAGTAAAATATACATACAACTGGTCCCAAGGCCATACCGTTGTATTAAAAACAACTCAGTACTGTGCTCTAACTCCACGTCAATTTTTATCCCCATAAACGAACCAGTTTCGCGTGTCACGTCTCTGTGACAGTCTTAGAGCCCTATTCCCAGCCCAGATTTATCAGCAGAGGTGATCAGGCGCGAAAATACCTGTGAGCAATCATGATCGAAGGCACTCCGGAAAACTCGTAGCTCTGACTGGGATTAACCCCACGGAAACCGCGTATCGATTCCTCGGCGAGGAATTCGAGCGTTCCGCTCGATGTTCCCATCGCGTGGATGTTAATACAAATACCGAAATTTAGGTCGTCGAGCTAGCTGTTAATTTACAAGCACCGGTGCAACCACTTCACGTCGCCGTCTGTTATCCGAATGACCCTTACGAGCTCTCCGGCGATTTATTAACACCGTATTGTTAAAGCTCTTGAAGCGTTCGCGGGTAGAACAGAAACCGACACGTTACGCCAAGGGCCGCTCGTGGCGCGCTGGCAACGGGGGTTCCCCGTTGTTCGAGCGGCTGGGAATACGCTGGGAAACTAATAACCACGTGAATCGACTCCTCGACGAGGAATTATCGCCGGTCATTAATCTGGACTTCGAACCTTTCGTGAAAAATCTGCCTCTCCGTCCGGCACGTTTTTCAAAACCGAGCGTAATCTCGTTTATCTCGAATTAAAGATACACACTGCGATCGAAGCAATCGAGGCGATGGCTCTCTCGATTGTTCGCCGATGAATGCACAGGTGCAACGAGTATAACTGCGCGAATGAATCGAGGAGCAATTAAGAGCCTTCGAAACTGTGAGAGATTAAAAAATCGATCTTCCGTTGCTCTAGGGACCTTTGGGGATATTTTAGATCCAGCTCAGCAAAAAAAGGGAAATACGAATTTTTGGTACTCGTGTTTTGTTTTGGACCTAGTGGGGCGCGGAGGAAATTAAAAAGGATTTTTTGCTAGTCGAATTGGCGTTCACTTTTTACCGTGCATTGAAGTAGTTTTGTATAGGCGAGTATGGAAAAATAAAATGCTGGAAGAATTTTATATAAAACAATTATCAGCCATTGAATCGGTATATTTTTCGCGAATTTCCGTTGCACGATGGCAGAAGCTTTTTAGCAGTAATATTTCCAATGTTTCGGAGAGCTCGCGCGATCGTGAAAAATGGAACTGTGAATAGTGCTTTTTATTATCCTGGTTCCTTTCTAAGCGCTCCAGTTTTTCCTGCCCGACCGTGTGCCCGCCGCGAGTGATTGTCGGAAAGATTACTAGGGAGCTAGGGACTTGAGTAATTTTTCGCAAGATTGCATATTCCCGCGAACAGCGGTTCGATGGTGGATTTTAACGCGCTCAAATAAACTCATGTCAATTTTATTCGATATTACGCGATATTAACGCATGAAATGTTCTCGATAAAACATCCGTGAAATAAAGTGTCATTTTCATGAATTTACGATCCGCAAAATTTATCAAACCGGTAACCAGAATCAATTCGAGATAAATTTATACATTTTCCTTCTTTTCTTTTTTCATGTGTTTTTTACGAATTTAGTTCTGCTCTACGAGATTTTCATTCGGAGTCACTCGATTAATCGCCGCTAAATTATCGTGGGATATCTGATGCCGAATCTGGCGCGAGTAAATCATTTGCATTCGCTCCCACTGTAGTAATAACTGCGTCCGTAAGCGCTGACTTCGTTAGCGGATTAATATACGGCTTGTTTAAAAAAAAAAATGCGAGACAAAAAGATAGGAGGAAAAATAAAAAAACAAAAAAAAATAAAGAAAAAGGAAGGGAAAAAAGTAAGCGAAAAACGAAAGAAGATAGCGGTGTGAAAGGTGACCCTAAAAGAATCTGCGTCGAAAATGAAAAATGCATTGAAACTCTTTCGTCCTCATTTACTCCGTGCTCCATTGCCAGAGCATTTTCTCGTACGCCAGCATGGGGACAAGGAGCCGTATTTAAGCGGCAGAATATCTCCTCTTTTTATTCCGTGAAAACCGGGCTTTACGGTAAAAATGGGACCGCGGGAAATGAGGAAACATCGAAAAGCTGGGAAAACCTTTAACTGTGCGTTTCAATCATGCGACACCGCATGGCTTTAGCTAAATCTAGGTGAAGATCGTAATTGCGTTTTAGCACGAAATATACAGCGAACCGATCCGGTGACATTTTATTTTGCGCGACAATTTCACTCGGAAATTAACAGACCTAAAACATACTATTAATAAATCAAATTTAATCCTAATCGTTAATTACACACGGTACAGTCGCTCGTGATTGGTCCGTGTGAATAAAAGAAGAATCTGAAAAATACAGTCGACTACGCGATCTACCTTATTCCGTATTCTGTGCCCAAACGGTGCATCTTCCCGGAACGAACTTTTCCATCTATTAGACGCGATTCTATTTCGTGGTAATGGCGAGGAACGAGCACGTAAATTGAACTGTCACACGGAATTAACGTTAACGAGAAAATCGTTCGCAAATCCGTTTTGCGACTTACGTATTTGCAATCTCTGCTTTGTCTGTGCCTCCGCAGTTTTGCCTATGTTCGTTCGTGCGTGATAATTTGCGCACACACAAGGTTACTCCCCCGAGATAGGTGCGCTTTGAAACGTTTTAAAAGCGAGCGCTTTTCTAAGGACCGTGCTTCTCTTTTTACCCGACGAAAAAGAACACGCCGAAACTTGTACGGTGGCGCTGAAACGCCGTTAACACCTCGCGAACAAGAATCCCGAATTAACATTCTTCCCGAATATCACTCGGAACAAGTTCGGAGAAAAATCTCGTGACAACGGATTTACAATAATTCCGTTCCGTTCCGTCACACCGTCCCGACGAGTACCGTGAAATGCGACGTTGTCGTGAACGGGCGGAACGATGAATAACCGTGTTTCAAAATTCTTGGAAAATTTTATTCGTTAGAAAAATCTAATTTTCAATCAAGAATCCGGGATCGAGTGGATAAAAAAGAGCAATCAGTATGGTTGCATTAGGATACGTGACATTAACGATTAAAATAGCCAGCAAAGTAGCGAGGACAGGATATTGTGCGATATATAACGTCAGATTCGATTAATGCCGCTCGGTCGCATGGAAAGAGCGTTGGAGTCCGGTAGGCGGTTGATCGTGTAGTCCTCGATGAAGGCAAACATTCTCGCCGAGAATGTACGTAGCGGACGATCGTTACAGGCACATAGTATAATGCACTCTAAATGAACGCATCAAGCATCGCGGTGCATCGATCGAGCTCCGTGAACCATTTGACAGGTAGCACGGCTTAATTGGCAAGCATTTAAGGGAAATTTCACGGGACGAGTACACCGTGGCCACTACATCGATCGTGATGCGCGTTGCGCGTGACATTTGCCGCTTGTTCGACAAGAGGGTAAAAAAATAAAAATTGTCACCAAGATTGGTCGCGAAGAAATTGTCCGCGGCGATCGATTGCCACTGGCCGCACGACTACCGTGTCCTTTCTGTTTTTCTATTCTAGCTCAGATCGTATCGGTACTCACCTGGACCCGGCAGACCATCAAGACGCCCAGCAGTGCGGGCACCAGCATCCCCTTCATCTTTCTTCCTTGGCTGACCTTTGTAAAACTCCTGCACGATGTTCGTTTGGATTCCTCTCGTAACGATTCCTGCTCGCCTCGATCTTCTACGAAGAAACGACGATGCACTGACTAACAAACGCCAGAAACGTTGCAGAACAATTTGCTGTATGCAAGGCACCACTCACCCGCCGTATACGAGAGCACAGCGTACTACTGTGACACTGCTGCTGGGTGGGTCGCTTTACGAGAAATCAAGATGGAGGTGAAGCGCGGCGCCGGTGCCGCTGAAACGATTCGACCAATCAAAAGCTGTCACTAGATGACCGCGCCGGAGGGTGCGTTCACATGCGCGCAGTGGTCAGTCGATAATGTGGCGGGAATATCGTGATTTTAAACGCTACACATCGTCATGTACGTAATTGATAACTTTCGACAGATTTTCCGGCGGAAATGTTGCTTTCAGCGAAACACCCGACGTCTGTTCTATTGAAACTGCGAGTATTAATCAGTGAAATAGCTTTTACACAAAGCGACAAGTTAAAATATAGGGATTTTCTCATTTATATTTAAAAATACTATTTTCAGGTTAAATGTAAAATTGAAAATCCGAATCACGTGTAATTATAATTGGAATTTTGGTATTTAGATCCTAAGACGTATTTTAGAGATTGAACGTTCAAAGTATATCTCTTTAAGCTGTTTTCACGACTATTTTAGCGACCAAATACAAATTCGAAAATAAATTTAGCAGACAAAAATATAAAAGAAGAGTGCAGCTAAACGAATACGTAGGTATATTCACATTTAATCCTCTTTAAACTTCATTTCGCCATTGTTTGCACGTTATATCATTCGTTCGTTCTTTTTTCACAGAAAATATCGTTGAAAACCTTGAACATCGGTAACACACGTGAAAGGGGAATTGAAACAACAGATTGAGTACTGCAAAAGTATTGACATTATAATTACGACCATGTATCGTTGAAATTCAGTAAGATTAAATTGGTAATATTAATATAAGCGACATAATAATTATGCTTTAACATATGTAATAAATATTGACCGAGTCGTGTACGATTATCATTCCAAATCAGTACGCGATTAACAACGCATAATTGCATAAATATTCAGTTAAACGCTGAATTTAATCCATCTATATTTCAGGGCGTTCACGTATTTAATACGGCCAACCGAAATGTCCAGCCTACGGTATAGAAAGCCTAGCTAATGCCAATCGATGACAAAGTTTGGCGCGTCATCCGTCGCAGTCGACTGACACCTCGTTTTGATTTTCAACGAAAAAATAGAACGGGTACGAGCATCGTTTAGTAAGAAGCGAGACATTGTCGAGCATTTTCAATTCCTAACCTACAAGGACGATACGTAGATGCAACTACGATATTTCCATCATTACACACCAGCAATCCGCTATTAATACGCACAGAATAATTCCACGCTATGACATCATTTATATTCGCCTCTAATACCTTCCTACGTTCGTAACGCGAATCAAGGCGAGGCTGGGAGGATGGACGAAGACAGGATCGAACGGTACAGGACGAAATATCGTGAGCAGCATATATCGAAGGCCCTTTAAGTCGAACAAATTGCCAAGACTGTATCACTGCATCCGCTTATGCCGGGTCTTGTCATTTTTACGGTTTACAGAATCTTGCATACCGCCTTATCAAGCGTCTCTTGACATTTCGTTTTGTTAACAACCGCGTGTCCCTCTGACTTTTCTATTTTTCGTCTAAGCCACCCGGGCCCAGGGAAATTACACATTCCGCGTGGCTTCATCTGTTTTTCTTCTACCCTTTCCTCTCTCGTTGTCTCTCTGTCTCTCTCTCTCTCTCTCTCTCTCTCTCTCTCTCTCTCTCTCTCTCTCTCTCTCTTGCTCTCTTCCCTTATTCTCTCCCTTTCTCCTTTTTTCAGAAGAGCATGAAAACGCACGAGCAGATAGCCTTGGCCCATACCTTTGCCCGTGTGTCGGCCACCGTACCCACTGGTTACCCTGGAAACGGTATCGATTTCAACCCTCAGCTATGCAGTAGAAACCAGCGGCACACCATGGGGGTCTCTTCGTCCCGAGTTTCGACAAGACAGCCCGTTTAAACTACCCGATTACAGCAGCTTCCATCTCTATTACCGCCTTACATTTCGTTTCGCATGCTTCGCAAAATCAACCTGCCTATAACCTTAAATCCCGGGGACACTGTAAAATTGCCGATGAAATTTTCCAACGAGGCTATCTCGAATCGCCAGCCTGATTTCTGCTTTGTACACCGCTAATTCCTCCGGCGTGTTTACTTATGCTAATGTAAAATCTTCTTTGTGCTGGACACGGAAGATAACATGTTTATGGAAGAACATTGTATCCGGAGGAATAAGCACGCAGAGTAGTACAGGTCAAATAATTCAGCGTCTAGTACGGAATATTCCGGGCAGAAATTTAATTAGTTCTTTTAATCTAGCATACGCTATTCGAAAGCCGAGCCAAATATTTGACGAAAATAAAATGGTCGTAATGCGGCATTTTCATTTCAATGGCAACGCGAATTCGAAAATCGAGCGTTATTTAAATTAATTCGTTTCTTTCCGGATTATTTCTATTCTAGATTATCTACGGTATAATTAAAATACTTGCATCGCGCGTTATTATAGAACATAAAACGACAAAATCGAATTAACAACTGGCCGATCGATGAACGTATGTAAAAATATCGCTCGAGTGTTCATCTCTTCATGGTTTCTGTTCCTCGTGAACTTCGTATAATCCGCAAACTTTATTAGCCGGCACAGCTTTATCTAGAAGGGTAAACAAATTTTATCGTCATAAAAGTTCAGAGACATAGTGAGAAAAATGTCAAGCTTAAATTCTCGTGATAACGCTTCGAGAACTCGGACTAATGATTTAAACATCACGTGAACAAATTGGTATACCGATCATTTTCGGGTAGGGCAGATTAAGGTTGTTCATTATGTCGACAAATTCGCTTAGAGATTTAGTTAATCTCGGATTAAAGGCCTTCTCCTCCGCCACTGTGGTTACTGTTCTGCCACAGTAATCGTGGGCTGGGTATAGCTTGAAACACGCTGGCAAGGTAAAAATTTTAGAGTGCACGGACTTGTACAGCACCTCTGCGGAGCCGCCCTGTAACGAATAGAAATTGCAAAAATTAGTATCAACCGTGAAAATCAGTCAAAAATACGAGATCCGTCGGAACAATCCAAAATCGCGTGTTTGAGGTTAGATATAAGGACATAGCGAGATGAAAGATCGGGGAACGATGATTATCGCAACGCGTATGACGGAACAGACTTTTATAGGAAATATTTGACTCGAATGAATTGTTAAGTATCAATGTATCCATGCCGCTTTAAAAGCTGTTAGCGTCTAAATAAGTGATGCGCACTAGTACGCAGAAGTTCCAAGTGTGCAATATCGAACCTACACAATTTTACGTCAGCGCTTCCAGTATGAAGCCGCCAGATTTTAAGACTGAACGCGCCCCGTGTTATCCCTTGCGGTTAACAAATTAACTGCCGCGTAAAACGCGATATTTAGAACCTTTTTGACGCTCTTCGTGATTGCGTCAAACGTCGTGGCTATAAATAAACGTCCGATAATTATATATAACGCGAAAGGACAATTTTACGTGATTCAGGGGCTGCCCCTTTCAGCGTATCATTTACTACGAACCTGGAAATCCGTTCGTCCGCATCCGCGGATTAAAAGAGTGTCGCCTGTGAATGCGGCACCCTGTTCGTCGCAGACATAAGTAACGCAACCTATTAAAATATGAATTTATCGATTAACAGCGTGGCAACGTGGTGGTGTACTGCAAAACAAATTCGTTTGATAAATTCGCTAGGAACTTGGGATTTTAACCCCTTGCAGTACGATTTTATTGAGAAATATGTTTAAATGTAGCTATTTTAATTAATCGTAATAGCCACTATGTACTTTTAAAAGTTTAGAAATTATTGCAATTTTGGACATAGTGAAACGTTTCACGTGTGAGATATAATAATTATGAGAGTGTAATCGTAAAGAACTAGTAACGTGTTAGACTCCTCGTTGTAGTGCAAGGGGTTAAGAGTAAGATAGTAAAAATTGGATGGATGTGTTGAAGATATGAGAAAAGATAGTGACAGAAATGACACGAAGGATAGGGTAAAAAATGGGATGATTATTTGCAAAGATAAATGATAATGATGGATTTAAAAAGACAATTTATTGGCCATGTGAAACTTTAAAAATTACTCTTTAATTGCGTTTTAAATGAAATGTAGTTGAACTTGAAATGTACTTGAAATAAGAATGGAAAATGTGGAATTTGGAATGAAATATTTCACATGTTTAGTTATGTTTTATAAAGAGGAAATTCTGTTGCGAAACGTGAATATATAAAGCTGCAATCGACAGATTTTTATTTAGAAAAGTGATCGAATTAATAGTAATTTACTATAAGTTTAATCTAGAAGAAAGGTAAATAAAATTCTACCTTTGATCTGTTTTTATGAAAAGAATCATCTCACTGGGGATTATGCTATCTTGACCGCCACACCCTCTATAATTGCGCAAGACATAATAATTTAACATGACATGCAAGAATATGCGATACCTTGGTTTACTGCATAAATCACCTTTTCATACTTATTTCAGAGTCTGCTATTTCTACATCGATACACCTGGCTAAAAATAACGTAAAAATATACAGTATCCTTTGCAAATATCTTTACACAAATGTATACAATTTAATAAAGCAAGTGATTTACAGGATATCTATCTACAAATAAATGAAATGAATTGCAAATTGAGAGATTTAATTTATAACGAAATTTGATTGATTTTTGATCTTTCATCTAAATTTGTCCAGTTGCTTATTTTTGATGGAGTGTAATTCAACTAAATGAAGAAAACTGCAACTGGAGACTCATAATAATTATTATAGCTATGCATGATAAAATATCACAGTATAATAAAATGAATTTTAAAAAAATAACATACAATGACAAAATTAGCATCTACAAATGTCAAACGTTACAGTACAATAATTTCCTGTTTAAGAAGTTCCTTAGTCCCTTTAGCTCATAAACGAGATAAGAATAGTTCTTCTAGAACACCAAGGACACTACCATAATTGAATCGCTATGTCGCTATATTAAAATTGACAAAATGACAAATTTAATTTCGACATATTAATACATAAAATCTCTAAATAAATGAC